CCTTGGCAGAAGCCGGAGCCGGGGGCGCCGCCCAAGGCGCTGCCCAAGAAGGAGAACCAGTGGTTCGACGTGGGCGTCATCAAGGGCACCACCATGATGGTCACCCACTACTTCCTGCCGCCCGAGGACGCGCCCCCGCCCGACGTGAGCGCGGGGACGGGCACGGGCACGGGCACGGGGACACGGGGACACGGGGACGGACATGGGGACACGGGGACGGACACGGGGATGGACACGGACACGGGAACACGGGCACGGACACGGGGACACGGGGACGGACATGGGGACACGGGGACGGACACGGGGACACGGACACGGACATGGGGACAGACCTGGGGATATGGGGACAGACGTGGGGACACGGGGATGGACATGGGGACACGGGGACGGGCACGGACACGGACACGGGCACGGACACGGGAACGGACACGGGGATGGACACGGGGATGGACATGGGGACACGGGGACGGACACGGGGACGGACACGGGGATGGACACGGGGACACAGGCACGGGGACGGACACGGGGACGGACACAGGCACGGACACGGGCACGGACACGGGGACACGGGCACGGACACGGGAACGGACACGGACATGGGGACACGGGCACGGACACGGGGACACGGGCACGGACATGGGGACACAGGGACGGACACGGGGACACGTGGACGGACACGGGGACACGGGGACGGGCACGGGGACGGACACGGACATGGGGACACACATGGGGACATGGGGACAGACATGGGGACAGACCTGGGGATACGGGGACAGACGTGGGGACACGGGGACGGACGTGGGGACAGACATGGGGACACGGGTACGGACACGGGGACATGGGGACGGACACGGGGACAGACATGGGGACATGGGGACGGGCGTGGGGACAGACACGGGGACGGACACGGGGACACGGGGATGGACGTGGGGACACGGGGATGGACATGGGGACGGACACGGGGACAGACGTGGGGACACGGGGACGGACATGGGGACACGGGGATGGACGTGGGGACACGAGGACAGACACGGGGACAGACATGGGGACATGGGGACAGACGTGGGGACACGGGGACAGTCTTGGGATAGGATCAATGGCACTGGGGACACCCAGGGACAGCTGATACAGCTCTGGGACACCCCTGGGGACACCCCTGGGACACCCCTGGGACACCCCTGTGGCACTGGGGACACCCCAGGGACACCCCTGGGACACCCCAGGGACACCCCTGTGGCACTGGGAACACCCCAGGGACACCCCAGGGACACCCCTGGGACACCCCTGGGACACCCCTGGGGACACCCCTGTGGCACTGGGGACACCCCTGGAACACCCCTGGGACACCCCTGGGGACACCCCTGTGGCACTGGGAACACCCCAGGGACACGCCAGGGACACCCCTGGGACACCCCTGGGACACCCCTGGAACACCCCTGGGACACCCCAGGGACACCCCCGGGTTCTCTGTCCCCCCGGTGTCCCCATGTCCCCACAGGGGGAGGGCTCGGGGGTCCCAGGACCTGTCCCCAACATCCAGGGGGTTTCTCTGTCCGTGTCCCTGGGTCTGGGGGTGTCCCCGCGGTGTCCCCACGGTGTCCCCACGGTGTCCCCGCGGTGTCCCCACGGTGTCCCCGCGGTGTCCCCGCAGGAGGAGGGCTCGGGGGTCCCGGACCACTCCCAGCTGCGCCGCCAGGAGCTGCAGCCGGGCACGGCCTACAAGTTCCGCGTGGCCGGGCTGAACGCCTGCGGCCGCGGGCCCTTCTCGGAGCTGTCGGCCTTCAAAACCTGCCTGCCCGGCTTCCCCGGGGCGCCCTGCGCCATCAAGATCAGCAAGGTGACCCCAGACCCGTAATGGAGACCCCAGACCCATAACAGAGACCCCAGACCCATAACAGGGACCCCAGACCCATAACAGGGACTCCAACCCCTCCAAGAGCCCTTACATCAACCCCAACCCAAGCCCCATCCCCGTCCCTGCCCGGCTTCCCGGGGGTGCCCTGCGCCATCAAGATCAGCAAGGTGACCCCAGACCCATAACGGAGACCCCAGACCCATAATGGAGACCCCAGACCCATAATGGAGACCCCAGCCCATGGGGCAGCCCATAACACCAACCCCAACCCAACTTGATCCAACCCCCAGCCCCATCCCTGCTTGGTTTCCTGGGGGCACCATCAAGATCAGCAAGGTGACCCCAGACCCATGACGGAGACCCCAGACCCATGATGGTGACCCCAGACCCATAACGGAGACTCCAGACCCATAACGGAGACCCCAGACCCATGGCAGGGACCCCAGACCCATAACGGAGACACCAGCCCAAGGGGCAGCCCATAACACCAACCCCAGCCCAACTTGATCCAACCCCCAGCCCCATCCCTGCTCGGTTTCCTGGGGGCACCATCAAGATCAGCAAGGTGACCCCAGACCCATAACAGAGACCCCAGACCCATGACGGAGACCCCAGACCCATAATGGAGACCCCAGCCCATGGGGCAGCCCATAACACCAACCCCAACCCAACTTGATCAAACCCCCAGCCCCATCCCTGCTCGGTTTCCTGGGGGCACCATCAAGATCAGCAAGGTGACCCCAGACCCATGACGGAGACCCCAGACCCATAACAGGGACCCCAGACCCATAACGGAGACCCCAGACCCATAACAGGGACCCCAGACCCATAACAGGGACCCCAACCCCTCCAAGAGCCCTTACATCAACCCCAACCCAAGCCCCATCCCCGTCCCTGCCCGGCTTCCCGGGGGCGCCCTGAGCCATCAAGATCAGCAAGGTGACCCCAGACCCATAACAGGGACCCCAGACCCATAACGGAGACCCCAGACCCATAACAGCGACCCCAACCCCTCCAAGAGCCCATAACACCAACCCCAACCCAAGCCCCAACCCCATCCCTGCCCGGCTTCCTCCATGGGGACCCCAGACCCACTGTGGGGACCCTCCTGTGTCCCCCCCATGTCCCTCACCCCCCATAGCCCCCTATACCTCCATATCCCCCAACTCCATGTCACCTCCTGCCCCGTGTCCCCCGCTATGTCCCCCATGTCCCCCTGACCCTCTG